ATCATGTCATTTACCTATGTCAGAATTAAATGCACAGCTGACGATGACTCAGGCATTTGATTTAAGTGTCATGTTGCGGTTTTTATTTGAAGTGCTTGTAAATGCCCGTTTACACCAAGAACAACAGCTGTAGAAAGTTTGTTTTAAAATATAAAAAACAAAGTATACTTTGGCCTTGAGGTTTTTTTAAAAGTTGAACCTTCTACTCGACACATGCATCTTAAAACATGGTGCTGATGTGCAAGACATGGCATAATTTAAAAGCCGTGTTGATTAGTGTGTGCAACCGTGGCTCTTCATTTACACAGAATTCAAGTCTAAACTGATATGACCTAAATTGGCTTTATTTTTATTTGTTTTGCAGCCAGTATTTCCTTCTGGAAATGTAAATCCGCTTGGTTTCATTCTCTGGTAGAGTTGCTCTAATGAGAAACTTGGCTCCCAGCATGCAATTGGCTTTTTGGTCTATAGAGTTCAGTCAACAGTGAGATGCCGTCTAAAAATAATGAAAGCTTCCATTATTGTTGCACTCCTGGAAATGATTTAACTGCTGAATTAGTAGGTGGCATGGTAATGGCTAGTTTACATTAATTACAAGGACTTTCAATCTAACACGTTACAATAAGTTCAGCATGAAACTTAGTTTCTACTTGATTATTAATTAATCATCTCAGCTGATCTGTTCAGGGTTGTGAATTTGTATGTATGTGTGCAACACGTCGTCTACCATAATCGTCAAAAAAACCTGATTGGCATCTGTAGGAGAAATACAACACATTCTTACAGACACAGAATGCCTGCAGTCATCTGAAATACCAGTAGCTGACATTTAGAATGTATTTATTAACTCAAACAGGTCCTTGTTTGAATCCCAATCTCTGGATTTGCTGAATTGCCCGTTGTTTTACCACAGTACAGCACAAATATGCTGTTTTGTATGTATGCCAGTGCCTCGACAGCACAAACGTGAGTCTGAGATTTCTCAGATCTTTATGTTTCTCAGACAGTGTTTGCCATGTATTATTTAAATACCCAGAAAAGCAATCCTCTCAGGTCTGACTCTAAATGATGGAAATGTTTCAAGATTCTGAGATGTTGGATCAGTCTTGCCTTATTTTCGTAGGTTAAATTTGTATTACATTTGTAGGACTTCATGTGATTCATGTAAATCAGAACTGATAGTGCTTTTATTTACTCATCCTGGCTAATGTTTTAAATTTTGCAATGAATTTTAATGTAGTGTTTAATTTTTAAATACAATTATCAGTAAAAATGTCTTATAATCACTTATGAAAGTGGCAAATAATCATGTTAAAACAAACTTTTAACATCATGTTAAAACTGAAGGCTGGCAGGCTAGTAGTTAAGAGTGTGAAAGTACCAGATGGAACCTATTTATAAAATAGCTTAAGTTATATATAGCCTAAATTCACAGACATATTCCTTAACTGCGAAATGCCCTTCAGTGTTGGACATGGTAATATCAGCAGTGATCAGATGCCATCCTGAGGCAGTGCTTATGATGGTGACAAGGTGACATTGTTGTCATGGTGATGGATGTGTCTCTGAGTGAGACCCTTAATGTGGGTCAGTGTCATTACTCTGCGGGCCCCTGGGCCCCTGACCCCTCTGTCCCTCTTTGGGTCCGTCTCTGGCTGGACAGTGACAGGGTGTTGAATTTTTAACCTTGAGATGAAATTTCCTCAGTAGCAGATGGCATACCTACATGTGACATCATGGATACACTACTGTTCAAAGGTTTGGGGTCAGTAAGATTTTTTCAGTGTCTTTGCAAGTTTCTTTTACTCGCCTAAACTACATTTATTTGACCACTAATACAGTGAAATTTGTAATATTGTGAAATTTTACAAATCCAAAGTTCTGGCATGAAACTCTAGATGGCGCAGTCTGATAGGTCTAACTCAATCTGGCATAATGACATTATCACATGGCGCAGCTGATTGGTTCTTTTTGTATGAGAAGCCAATGAGCTTGCTGCTCAACATTCAAATGCTTGGCTAGTGCTTGCTGTAGCAGTTGCAGCACGCTTCAGAAATCCTCCACCTTCCCCAGCTCCACCTGTATAGATCTGCTATATACCCAATGGATTCATGTATGCTATAGGGGGGTTATTTCCGAGAGTTGTCATGACTGAAATTAAAATAACTGTTTTCTATGTTAATACATTTTAAAATGTTATTAATTCCTTTAATGTAAAAGCTGAATATTCAGGAGTCATTACTCCATTCTTCAGTGTCACATGATCCTTCAGAAATCATTCTTATATGTTGATTTGGTGCTGAAGAAACATTTCTTATTATTTTCAGTTGTGCTGCTTAAAACTTCAATTTAACATGTCCTTGGTGAATAAATGTATTCATTTCTTAAAGAAAAAAATACTGACTGCTTTTTACAGTTTCTATCTATAACACTGAAGTTTTAATTAATTGTCATATAAATGAGAGGAAGCACTATGGGACGTCACGTCAAATTATGCATTGTCTCCCTGCTGACATTCTTAAATTGCTCTTACATGAAGCAAGCACAATAATTTAATCTTTTATGCATACAATAAGGGTATAGTAATCTAAGCGGGGAAAGTTTTTAATTAAAATTTCATACCAGTGGAAACAAATCACTATATTCAGTGATTAATTTTTTTTTGCTTCCAGGATCAAAGTTAGGGGTGCACCTGCACAACTAACAGCTTTACAAAATTGCCTGCCCTGTTAACTGTGATAATGTATTTGTTGACTACAATTTGTTCAAATCAGTCTGGAAGGTTTAAGTTCCTGTTCTGTTTCATTGGTCATTAGCAACCATTTCAATCTTAAGAAGGCACAATAGTGTGCTTGAATACTGACTTTTTTGTCTATTGTATGTTCACAGGCCAGAAGACTACAGGATGAAATGACCATCATAAAGCAGTTTCTCAGATCTTGCATTTTAGTTTGTGACTTGGAAATGTTTGTCTTTTTAAAAATATATTGTTAATGTAAAATAAATTGTCTAAAAATTATAAAAAATAAACAGTCAATTTGTCAACTTTTGGTTATGTTTGATATTTAAGCATAAACATACCTAATAGAGATCATTTCTGGATAACGTGTATTTATCTAAACCTCAGCCAAGGTAGTGAGGTAGTCGGACAGCATTTAGTCGTGACTGTGTAGTAATAGAGCTCAGATTCATTGGCCTTTGCTTGTCCTGCAAATGGCTTTAGCAGCTTCTCTGAAGCCTGATCCAGCTCTAATTCAACTGCTGCTTCGGTCTTAATTAACTTCATATGGCTCTATAAGCCCTTTCTGATGCTACTTTGGCCTTTTGAAGTCTGCTTAACTCATTGTGTCGGGATGGAAACGAAACGCCCTTGTTAGTCACTACAGCCTTTTGCGATGGTGGCGCCGTTTCGTTTTTAATGTAAAGGTAAAATTGAGTTTGCTTGTAAAATGTGATTTTATGAAGAAGGAACTTCAGAGCATATTCCATTATTTGAGCTCATTAACCAAACATGGTTATTAAAAAAAGAGAACCTGTTGTTTTAAATGTGAAATTTCATTTTTAAATCCATTTTGGGTGACCAGTTAGCACACAGAACAGAAAAGCACAAAGGCCAGACGAGACATCATCTCAAGTCATTGTTGCAGTTCGGTTTTATTGGTTACAAAAACAAATAATAAAGTAAAAATAAATTACTTTGTAAATCCAAAGGTCTGGTGATGAGTCTTTCCACGAGCATCCACTTTCGTTCTGAAAGGACGGTAGACCACAGGCCTAACTCTTAACTATTCAGGTCTCTTTCACAGTGAGCAGACCCATTGGAAACAGGACCACAGAGACGGAAGGATGCCATGCTGAGCTCTTCTTTTATACAAAAACACTTTGAGAGCTTTCACTGCATCCCCTGCATGACACTTCATCTTACAAGACCATATGTAAAGGACATTCACATAAATGTGTGATAATACGATTACGATCCCGACAAAATGTGTGGTGTTACACAGGGTGTTACTGTGAAGTACTGTACCAGTGGAAAAATTAGGCGATTAGGTTTGGTTCATTAATGCATTTTTAAGTGTAATTAAGAATTCAGCTTCTCATAAATAACTGCTAGTGATAAGAACATCAAAAGCATGAACGTTTTTTTTTCCCCTCTAAACAAAATAACTTAATAGCCAGTTCCAGATAACTGCAAAACGCTGTAAACATCTGTGAAATTTGTAACATAGTAGATCACCAATTTGCACTTAAAAAACCCACAAACTGTACACACACCCCCATTATCATTTACAAAAGATATGGAATACACAATTCAAAACCACTGCGCTGCAAAAAAGCATTTTGTTAATCAGCATTTTTGGTGTTTGCCAGTAATAATATCTTAAATTATTTGTGGAACAAAATATTGGGACTTATTTTCAGAGAATAGATCTTTTATTTTTATTAAGTTTATTTTTCTTACAATTGGCAGATTTTTAATCATAAATCTAGATTCAATTAAGTGAGGTTAATAAAATGTGATTGTCTAAATAAATGCAATATATACTATTATTATATATCTTGGAAAAATGTGATATATATGTAACCCTGGAGCGCAAAACCAATCATAAGTAGCACGGGTATATTTGTAGCAATAGCCAACAATACATTGTGTGGGTCAAAATTATATTTCTTTTATGCCAAAAATCATTAGGATATTAAGTAAAGATCATGTTCCATGAAGATATTTTGTAAATTTCCTACCGTAAATATATCAAAAGTTCATTTTTGATTTGTAATATGCATTGTTAAGGACTTAATTTGGACAAGTTAAAAGGCGATTTTCTCAGCTTGATTTTAGTTTTTTGCACCCTCAGATTCCAGATTTTCAAATAGTTGTATCTTGTCATATCCTAACAAACCATACATCAATGGAAAGCTTATTTTATTCAGCTTTCAGATGATGTATAAATCTCAATTTCATATATATATTTAATTTAATTTATTTATTTTAAGTTGTGATATTTCTACTGGACAACCAGACAAAAAATACTGCTTGCGAAAATTGATATATTTTTTTGTAGTGTTCCTTCTTTGATCTTGCTTTTCATCTCTTTGGCTACATGCAGCCTCACAAAAGACAGAAAAGTCACTGAATGAATATCGACACAGTTTCATTTTCTAATCTTCTCCACAAACCCACCGCCATAAGGATGCATATAGCAGGCACTTTTCGGATTTCCCTCAGTCCTATCCTGCAGGATATTCTGATGAAAAGTGTTTGTATGTGGACGGTCTATTTGCTGGGCCTGGCCACCCGAGCTATATGGCCTCCACTTGCACTTCCGACTCGTCGACGCTCCCCTCTTCGGCCGTGCTGCGGGAGAAGCGATGCGTGCCAGGTGACCTCATCCCCACCGTGTCACCAGGGTGGGCGGGGCCAAACCTGGCGGCATGGGGGTCAGGATAGCTGGGTTGATAGTACTGAGGAGGGTAGGCACGGTAGCCATTGTAAGGGTCCTCTTCCTCCTCGTTGTTGTCGTTGGTGGCGGGGCCGTAGTTTTGGTAAGGGTTGGGGGGTAACTGTTGTACTATGGGAACATGGGGGAATTAGATCGGTTGCCATCTTTTTCAGTCACCACCACCAAGTGAGCAGGCGTTGAGTTAGCGAGAAAATGAAAAAGCAAAGAGATAAAGGCACAAAAGGAAGTCAGAAAGGTAGAAGAGAGTTGTTACTGAGATTAGCCCCTTTAGACAAAGGGGAAGAGGTTTAGCATGGCTCGAGTTAGCTCATGCTGGTAAGAATTAAAACTACACCAAATAGCTAAAAGAATCTCCATTGGCGGAATGAATGCTAATATTTCATTCAAACATTTACTATAGTGACTGATTCATTTTGGAGATCTCTTAAAGCGCATTCTTGTGGTGCCATCAGCATAATCGTGCTTCTCTAGAGTGATTAGTCACATGGTATTTATGGCTCAGGTGATTGGCTCAAAAAAAATCTGGATGCAGAATTCAAATCTCATACTTTCAGGGGTCATGCGCCAGCCAAGCAGCTGACATTAAGACGAACAGGAATGGTAACAGATGGCTTTCTCCAGGTTTTATAGATTGATTTCGATGTGCACTCTAACAAATAAAAGTTATTTTTTGGCAACAATGGTTCCATGAAGAACCTTTAACATCCATGGAACCGTTTCCAATACAAAAAAAAGGTTCTTTATAGTTGAAAGAAAACAGGTTCTTTAAATTATGAAAATGCTTTTTACACTTAAAAAAAAAGGTTATTTTAAGAACGGTTCACCAAAAGGAACCTAAAATGGATCTTCTGTGGCTGTGAAATCCTGCCTTTAGAACCTTTATTTCTAAGAGTGTGGGTTTAAAATTTCAACATTAATGCCAGAAAAGGTTGAAAACACTTTAGATTGTCTAAAACTGCAGTTTGCACAATGCTCAGAATGGTTAAAAAGGCACGGGGCTTCAATGGTGGTGACATTTTGAGAGTTGAGGAACCAAGTACATGGATTATCGAGTTTGGGAATGAGTCTTTGGTTTTGGCCCATGGAAGGAGGTGGGATGAAGAAATGAAGGGTAGAGAGGAGAAGAGCAGGTGGCTCTCTACTGTTTCTCAGTAGTCATTCTCATACTGCGCTGGACCTTCACATGCAGGTGTGAGACAGTGACGCCCCGGTAAGAGAGGAGAGAGATACTGCGGTAAGTGTGAGCTCAAAATAACCAACAGGATGCTCTCAGCAACACCTCGTCTGCCAGACTGTAATCTTTACATAGTGGCACTTCAAAAGGAGAGTCAAGGATTCTCAATAAGGCATTAAAATCTGGTCAATACACATAAAACTTACATTCTCTCATTAGAAATGAAGTATTATCCCAGAGAATGAGGGCTGAATAAGTTACAGAGCAATTTGCAATACTATTAAGCTGTGTTGCAAGATTTTATGCTGACTGAAAGCTTAAAGCTATAACCTTTATAGATCTTAAAAGTGTTGATGCAGTATTTCATCAATTGAGTGGAATATTACACTGTCATTTAACGGCCTTACATGGCAGAAACCCCAGAGAACATTAGTGTTATTTTTTCACAATACAAAACTGCAATAATATGCGAGGCGTTGGGTAGAAAGCTTCGCTATGATCTGATAAATAAATTATTTAAACGAGTGCTGTCCATTTCTGTCCAGGGTTTCTCATATTAAAAACTGAAATTCTGAAATCTTGTAAGCACACAGCTCACTCTTATACTTGGAAAGCATTTAGACTCCATGAGAAATTTATAAGTAGAATAATGGTTTGGGAAGGGCTAGTTTAATAGGATGAAAATCTCTGAGTCAGACCACAAGCTTGTTTATAGCAATGGGTTTGCCATTCATTAGCAGTTGTGGAAATGCAATCTCAAGCGAGAATGTGTGAAGCACTTCAAAAGGCCATGGAGAATAACATTATGGAAGATTGTGTGGTATGTTCCCTCATCAGTTTTCTGTATGGTGATTATCAGTGAAGCCTGAAGCAGTCTTAAACCCACAGCTCAATGAGGACTCGTCAGAGACGCTGTTTTCAGACTAACTCTATAATTGACTTTCAGATGTTCAGTATCCATGGTTACCTTGACAACTACATGCAGATTTCATTGGGTTTCATTCACTAACTGGGCATATGCATCTATTTTTGCATGGAATTTGAATGTTTTCATTTGTCTGTCTATCTATCTATCTATCTATCTATCTGTCGGTCTGTTTCTGTCTATTACATTCATCCATCCATTCTTCTTTTTTACTGCCGTATCATATTGTATCGTACCATACCGTATTGTATAGTAGCCATCCATTAATCTGTCTATTTTATAGCATCCCTTCATCCACCCATCCATCTGTCTATAGTGTCCACCCATCCGTCTATACTGTCCATCCAACCAACCAAACATCCATCCATCCACCCCCCATCTGTCTATAGAGTCCATCCATCCATCTGTCTATAGTGTCCATCTATCCATCCACCCATCTGTCTATAGTATCCATCTAGGGCTGCACGATAAATCGAAATGGAATCGAGATCGAGATTCGACAGAAGCTGCGATTGTCATGTGTATCTTTCAGTGAAGCACGGTTCTGTGATCAGCAGTAAATCTCCATCCAAAGGCCAGAGGGCGCTCTCGCGCTGAAACTCCAAATACGCCTCGCAGAAGAAACCCAGAAAATCGCTGCAGCTGAATAAACAGAAGATTCAACTGCTTTCATTGATTCAACGTGACTAATAAACACACGGCTATGGCAATATATGGTTTATCTGAGTTCTTATTATTATTATAATTTTCATTAAAATAAAGTATATTTATAATTTATCACCTTTATCACTGTGTAAGAAGTCACATCATATCACAGAAGGATTTATTTCAAACACTCGACTGACGTTAAGTCTGGAGTAAAAATATGTTATTAAATGTGGTATTGCGTTTTTTTTGCGTAACTTGTCAGTGAACTACGGCTCTGTGTAGTAAATTCTGCTCCATCTGAAAGCACGTGATGATGATTTCCTGCTGATTACAGAACCGGCTTTTTTAACAAAATGCACATGACAATCGCATTCGATTAATCGTGCAGCCCTATATACATCCATCCATCCATCAACCCACCCTTCTGTCTACAGTATCCATCCATTCACCCATCTGTCTGAGTGTCCATCCATCCATCCATCTGTCTAGTGTCCATCCATCCATCCACCTGTCTATAGTGTCCATCCTCCTATCCATCTACCCATCTGTCTATAGTATCCATCCATCAACCCACCCACCCTTCTGTCTATAGTATCCATCCATTCACCCATCCGTCTAGTGTCCATCCATCCATCCACCTGTCTATAGTGTCCATCCACATATCCATCTGTCTATAGTATCCATCCATCCATCAACCCACCGACCCACCCTTCTGTCTATAGTATCCATCCATTCACTCATCTGTCTAGAGTTGTCCATCCATCCATACATCCGTCTAGTGTCCATCCATCCATCCACCTGTCTATAGTGTCCATCCATCCACCCACCCATCCCTCCATCCATCTACCCATCCATCTGTCTATAGTATCCATCCATCCATTCACCCATCCATCTATGGTATCCATCCACCCATCTACCTACCTACCCACCCAACCTAGCCATGACAAATTTTGCTTTCCAAGTTAAAAATTAATTCAATTAATTTCAATTAATTTTGTTTATTACTTTCTAATTCAAATGGCAATTCTACATTCTGTTACTACTGCTACTTCAATTCAAATTCAGGAAGGATAGTGGATTTGGCTGAAGCAGTTTTTTATATGTGTCAATGCTTGTGGGCATATATTATTCTAATTACTCCACCATCATTTAGAATAATCTGCATTCATCAACATACAAAGAAATATGTGAATATGTTGTAAATCTGGTGTAAATTTCACTCGAGAACCTTTGCTTCATGCATACTGTAAGATCACTCGTACACAATTATTAGTGAATGAGACCCACTGGATGTACCTGACAGAATAAAGTTTGAATGAAACTGAGAATCCTTGACAGATAGAGAGAGTTTGGGAGAGAGAGAATGAGAAGGAGAGGATTACCTCCAACGTTGTATCCGATGCAGGAGTTCTGGTCGCAGTAGCCGGGGGGTCCAGCAGGACCAGGGCTACCAGGGATACCTGAACGTCCTGAGGTGCCTTGAATTCCAGGTCTCCCTGGAGGGCCCTGACTTCCTGTCCGACCTTCTCCAGGAGGCCCTGAGTGGGAAAAGACATTGACCATTAAAATCTGCCTAAAAAAAAAACCCTGCTGAACTTCACACCCAAAGTGTGTCTGGATTTCTTCCTCACAAAATACAAGTTTTAGCCTTTTCCAGTCCACATCCCTCTCAGATGTCACTGGCTGTTACAGCTATGTTGCTTCAATGAATCTCATTTGTGAAGAGTATTGATCAAAGCGCAATTAACAGCGAGCGGACGCTGACATTTTCCTACCAGTCTACCAACCAGCCGTACTGCTAAAATCAATATGAAAACATTTCTCCCTGACCCAAATATTGTTTCAATATCTGCTTGGTATTCTAGACAGGAATCAAAGGAACCAAAAGCAGATCAAGATGTGTGCAGATGTTATTATTAAAAGTTTGCAAGCTTGTGTTTTCTTTGACAGAGGACATTTAATAATGGAAACTCCTGTAGCCTGTGCAATAAGAAGACAATTTTAATATAATTTTTTTTTACTACTAGCTTGAGAACAAAGAAGTCATTGATTTTGACTTAAATGTAACATTTTAACAGTCTTTCACCTGGGGGCCCTGGAGGACCACGAGGGCCTTGTGTCCCAATCCCTGGACTGCCCTTCTCTCCCCTTTCTCCTGAGAGACCTGTACAAAGAGAGACAGGGATCTGTTAGAACATGCAAACCCATCTGGAGAAGCTGTATCCTTGTATTCTCTTTCCATGTGATTTAACTTATTCCACACCTTTATGAAACCATTAGGGAAGAAATAAAAGTCCTGGATTGTGTTAATAACACTGACAGGTCTGATGTGGCTGATCTGTCAGTGAGAGCTGCAGCAGAAGGGAATAACTTATTTAAGAGAATGACAACTTAAATCGCAATTGTTTTCTCACACAAATCTATCCGAATCTATCTATAGTATCTTTCTTTCTTTAAGAAGTCAGCATCGAAATTGAAACAGTAAGTGGTTAACGTTCCAATTGATCCAATTAACCTCTACTGGCAGATGCTGCAACTACACCAAAAAGCACCTTAAAATTAATGGGAATAATACGATTTCCTTGAAACATGGTTCATTTGTCCAAACTGTTGTCTCTAAGGGTCTCTGTACACTCTGAATGTAAGCAGCTTTTTGCCCCACAGGCAGTCTGATCTTCATCACTTCTGAACAACACTGACCATCTAAAAGAGAACTTCTGAATAAGATTGTTCATTATAGGCCCCATGTTAACATAAACAGACAAATATCCCCCCTATGTTATCCCTCATTAGCGGCTCTGTTTTGCACTGACTGCATCATATCCATGCTCTGCATGTTCCTGCTTGATATCTGAATGTTTGAGTGCACAGATCCCTGAGAGAAGCAGTAATGATGGTGAAATATCTCATGCTGAAACCTCAGGCTGTGTGTCAGAGCTCTTCTAATTGAGGACAGGAGACTAAGCAGTGTGGACACTCACTCATGATAAAGACTCTGGCTGAGAGTTGCTCTTGGCAGGAAGGTCATGCAGATCTAATGCAATTTGTGTACAGTCGTATTCAGAGGAAAGAAAGTTCCAGATTTTTTTTTAGTCACCTAAAAAAATGCTTTGGATCAACTTAAAAAATACTCTCTTTTGTTAGAGCCAAATCTATTAGTTTTTCTCAAATTATATTTATTGTTCGGTTCAAACCTTGATTTAATATTTATCAAAAATATTTATTATTTAAGTATAAGGCTTTTTTTTATAACGACCATACCATACTTAATGAATATATTTTCTTTAGACATAAGCAAAAATGTTTAATGCAGGTTAGTAAAACAATTTTAGAAAAAAACATTTTTTCAACTTTATTTCAAGATAAAAAAAAAAGCAAAATTAGCGCATTATGAAAGTATAATTTTCACTTAAGATAAAAATAAAAAATGTGTTGTTATCTAGGGCCAGATTTACTAAACAGGGCAAATTAGTGTTAGAGCACAATGAGAGGAGAAAATTCTGCATGTGATTTACTGACAATGCGCACATTAAAGAATACAAACACAGCCAGATCATTTCCATAATGACCAGCGCAATCTACCAAGAGCAGCGCAAATTACCACCTGCTTTAAGACTTGTTTTTTTTGTGCGTTAAACGATGGCACAAATACCATAATTTAACGAGCACAAACGTTAGTAAATCGCGTTGCATGATTAATTTTAATACTCTTCTCCCATAAATTTTGCGTCTGAAAGGGAAATTCCTACAAAAGCATATTCAATAAGGTCAGGTGCAAAAATAACTGTCCACTCCTTTTCAGCACTAATTCTTCACTGCGTGTCTTTAGTAAAACCTGACAGTACTACTTTAATGCCAAAAGACAGTTTGCATTGGTGCAAGCTGTTAGTAAATCTGGCCCCTAATGTTTAATTTATTTTGTCTTTTTAAAATATGCATCATATTTGCTGTAATGTTCTAAAAAATATATATATATATTAATAAAACCCTCACTAAACTGTTCTGCACATCAACACTTTTAAACAAACTGGTCGTTTCACTTTTTCAGTGCAGTGTGGGACTTGTGATTGCTAAAGAGGCTGTCAACCTCAATTCAACTGTTACATACTAAAGAGACTAAAGCATTGCTTTGTGGCATCTTTGAAGTAGTTGTTCTTGGCTTTCTAACATTACCCAAAAAAAAGGGTTAGTAGTTTACATATTGTGTATGATGATGGGTGGTATTGAGGTTAGCCAAGGCTGTCAGCCAAGATGTTAACAAAATTTATCATGGATGGGGTCAGAGAGGTCTTACTAATGTTCAGTATTATTATAGCTACAAGATCTCTGCTTAACCTTAAGCTGCAGGGGCAACATTTCTATCCAACAACTAATCATCCTTCATACTATGTATACTAGACTAGCCCAGAACCCACTGTGCATTTTGTTTATGCATCTAATACCCTACTGACATATTAATTTTGCTATTATTTGCTATTATTCCACAAACTCAGCTACTACTTTTCCACAATTTAATCTTCAAAAGTTCTGTTTTAATTTCCCCCAACAATTTAATGCCTACAAATTCAAAACACATGTTCGTATTGTTGTATTCAGCAGTGTACAACTAGTGCTGGAGTATGTTATTATCACATGTAAAAATGTTTACCTCTCTCTCCTGGCCGGCCATTTTGCCCACTGGCTCCAGGGAATCCCGGTCTGCCAGGAGAACCCTGCTCTCCCTGTGGCCCCGGAGGTCCCGGTCGACCAGATTCACCCGGTGGACCTGGTACTGTTCGTACCGAAACAGACTGACTGGGAATCTGGTTCAGAATAGAGTTGTAGCGAGACAAGTGACCTGAGGGGGAGGGAGAAAAAAAGAAATTCACTTAGCGGGTCAGCTGCAGTTAGACGACTTCCTGTGAGTCATGAATTTGGTAAAAGAGCATCAAATCAAATAGTATATGTACACAAAATATACTCACTCTGAATTAGCTGTTCACAAACTTGTCGCGCTATGGCCCGGACAGCGGCCTGAGACTGCATATTACCCTTCAAGAACAAACAACATGGGATTCAGATGGGGATGTACAGTATCACAGTTTTGTCATTTGAAGTTAAATATTATAATCATTTTAAACCTTAGGCACTGTGCGAAAGTTATGCACTAGGAGAGCTACAAAAAAGAAACTGTACTGTGAAATTAGTCTGATTTGCCAGAGCTTAAGAACTTGAACTTATACAGAATTATGTATTCTGTTTCCTCTATGCTGGGCACATAAAAAGAGAGAGCCGCAAAAACTGAGACAATCAATAAAAAGGCAACATATTCTTTTTGCTCTCAAAGTCTTGACAGTTTCCTGAGGATGAGCTTTAGGGTGGTGAATTCTGACTCAGATAGACCGGATTTAGAGTGTTTCTCACATTAAGAACAACAACAAATTAACGTGTTTTTTAATAGCTCATTCTGATAAGTGGATTAGTGGATCTGTCCATTCCATTGAACATGTTCATAATAATAATAATAATATATACGATAGATAGATAGATAGATAGATAGATAGATAGATAGATAGATAGATAGATAGATAGATAGATAGATAGATAGATAGATAGATAGGCAACTACTTTGTTACTTGCCATACTACAGTAAATAACAATTAATAATAAATAAGTAAATTAATAAATGAACTATTTTGACAACACTGTCCATTCTGTGTGCTAATTAATTTTCCAATCCACTAACACCACTGTTTACACCATAAAAGCAAGCATACAGCATGTATTAAGACCACAAGCTGCCACTTTAGCTGCTTTAAATGGAGGCTAAGAGCCTGTACAACGTGGGTGTTTAATTCACCCAATTTAACACTCTCCACACACCCTTTGTGTGGTGGCCGGTACCACAGCAGTGGAGAAATCAGAACCAAAGAATAAAAACACAAATATATTGTTGTGTGGAAGCTCTGGACCAAGTCTGACTGTGAGGCTTGATAGACAGCTTTAGTCTAATCTAGTCAGCTTTTCTAATGCTCCCGCAGCGACTGAATTAAAAACCCCAAGCATTTAGACATAAAAAGCGAAGGAGCTATAATTCAGTGCTGCTGCTGTGATTTTTATCAAGAGGCCTGTCAGCAAGCCTCTTAATCCTGCCGCTGATAAACCACCATTATGTGCACCACCCGAGTGCCACATGCCTCCACCCTAATCTAAACTCCATGACAGTTTAGATGCAGATTGGAGACTCACTCTCTCTCCTCGTTCGCCTTTGGCGCCGGGAGGCCCCTGCAAAAATAGAAAAAGAAATTGAAGACAAACATTTCAGAATTTACCGATTGGAGAAGAAAAAGACCAAAAAGAAACACAAAGACATTAATGACTGTTTGGAGAGGGGGATTTGAATGTGAGAGCGGACCAAATCGATCACGGATGAAACGCATGAGCCAAAAACATAAAATGGATGCGTCACTGACCTAATGTGTTGGAAAACAGACTGAGATTTGTGGCCAGAGCACCGTGGCTGCTAAACAATTCTGATATCATAACATCTGGGTAAAAATGAGATGTAACCCTGAGACAGACTCATTGGAGGCTCACTGGGACTCATCGTGAGGATATGTGGTTGTTGTGCCAGACTGTGTGAGAATATGATCATAGTTTATTTAAAGTACTGCATGTAATTTCACACATCGGAGCATGAGGTTATGGCTCTATATCTATATTGTAGTAGAATTAACAAAGCCCTGCTCTTCTATAAACTGGGCCACAATTGGTCATAAACTTGTCATCTTACTGACTATCTCTCTTCCAGGGCTTATAAAAAGAAAGACGTACAGGTTTCAATTCAGTGTTGAGAGGTTACACTGCAATCGAGCTCTGCAGATGGTCCTCAACGACTGTGCATATGGTTCTACTTTACAAATCTATGAGAACAAATGCAAGGTAATAGAGCTCCAACTTATATAGGTGTCACTCAGCAGGAAACTCATAGAGACTGACGTTAATTCAGAATTCCTTGTGCTTCTAATATACAAATGGGAAACAAACATTTCAGTCAAAGGCAAACAATACCTGAGATTTCTCAGTTTACAGGTCTCTCTCTGACCAGTCGGACTGTATGAGATAGATCTTTGCAGGCTGAAACTGAGCTACAGTGAGCCTAAAAACAAAGTGCTTCAAAGCCCAAACTCTACTCATGTGGAGCCGTCTGCTCCAGCATTCATAACTAATTTCTAGGCATGAATAAAGTGACTCTTCATGATAAATACTGTAGGTGGATTTCTAGCTTCTACACACGTGGACTTTCAAAGCAAAAATCATCCTGCTGAATAGATCAGGCTAGTTAGTGTAGGTTTGGTGTTACTCTAGCTTGAGGATGTCCAGTCCTGCTCCTGGAGGGCCACTATCCTGCAGAGCTGGTCTTAAACACACCTGAACCAGATAATGTTGAAACTTCCAGGCAAGTGTGCTGAAGCAGGTTGAACCTTCAGGAGCAGAATTGGACACCTCTGGTCTAGCTGGAGGACCATTATAATCATTCTGTTTACCAGCAAAACCTGGTTGGCCAACGTCTTTCTGGCAAATATGGTTAACTAAGGAAAAGTTTAACAGTAAGGATTGCTCTGCTGGCACCACGGCAATGGTAAAAGTTGTAAATTGGCATAAAACCCTCTTGTGTTTGCCCTGGACCAGCGGGCCATCCTTATTGTTGAGCCTTGCCAAGAGAAGCCTAATGAGAACATCAGCACATCACCACCAAACCATGCTGTTTTTTAAATCAGGTATATTCAATATCAGTTGAGTGGGGAACCAAAGGACCAATTTGCTTTATGACCTCAAAATATGTTTAATTCTGGTCTCTCTTTTCAGCTTTGGTGGTCTGGTACTTCAGTGAGAATAATGCTGGAGTCTGACACTAAAGCGAATGAGTCAGCAGTAGGATAGTCTGCCAGAATTCAATGTTCCTTCAAAGAAATAAACAAGAACTCCACAAAACCACATTTATAGAACTGAGTCAAACACTTCACCTCTTGCTTAAATACAGGGACACAGACTTAATTATCAGCTGATGCCACGACTTGCAGTCTACAATATTTTGATTTTAGTTTATTCAACATGACTTCAATGCAATACTCACAGGTGTCCCCTGATCACCCATTTGCCCTGGAGATCCACTTGGTCCTGGAGCCCCAGGAGCTCCAGGGCTTCCCTAAAATGAGATATTGAGAGGACAAAAGGTTCATGACCAAGTCTCAGAAAGACTCAAAGAGTGATTTTATCATGTTATATACCATTGGTCCTGGAGGGCCCTGTCCTCCCTGGGGTCCATCCTTACCCGGTAGGCCCTAAAACGAAATAATTTTGATGACCACAATTAAACTTTGTTTAAAATAAAAAACTGTGATATATCAATATAAATACAGCATAACATCTTCTTTTAGCACATTTGTATGAAACCATAAAACGCCAAAGTCCCAATTCTCATAAGGGAATCTAAGAAACAGTAAGCAGAAATGAAGATAACACATTATGAAGTGCCAGTGCTTCCTGCACAGCTTTTCTTTAGCAAAATAAATCGTTACCCAAGTTGTGAATGTGAGTTTGTATTCCGAAATAAATGTGATGAGATAAAAAACTGCAAAATAATGTTGTTGCGGGCTGCACGCAAAAACAAATATACAGCGAGAAGAGTCTAGTCTGATTCACAAACAAATGACTCAAAAAAGACAAACTCAAAATTTACCAGTTTGAATCAGCCTGATGAAACTCACTTGAATCTCACTAAATGAACAGCATGTGTTCAACTCTGGCTGACCTCTGTACACTGGCAGCATTAACTTTTTTGGAACAGTTCAACAGTCAACGTTCCCAATGCAAAAGACCAGATACACAAACGCTAACAGTAAAGTAACAGAACAGGTGGAAATGTGTTTTAACTGGAACATCCATTCCACTACTGTTTTATTATAGAATACTGGGATGCACCTGAAGTACCTCAGTAGGGGATCGAGACTCAACAACAACAACTTAATGTCAGATCTGTCTGCACAAATTATATAATACAGTTCTGGCTGCTTCCTTTTAGCCAGTGATCCAACTGAGTTTAAGTGTTCTTCCACTGAACATGCCTCATTGCCCTAAATATCTGGCTCTTTTGGGAAACAGGCTAATGGAGGAAAGGGAAAACAATGTAACATTTAAATCGCCTAGTGTAACATGTAAGTGTAACATACTTTTGGAGTACCACACTTCATGAGCATAAAGCCTCAGAATAGTTTGAGTGCACGCAACATAGCAATCCCATATGAGTGCTTGAGGTCACAGAAGTTTTTCTCTCACAGAAGCTATGTGTGTGTTGAGGTGGATAAGAACCTCCCTCAAGAAGGAGTCATGGTGGAAGCATGCTATTAACACCTCTTTGCTTTATGCTCATATACAATGAGGCCAAACACACCATTTATTCACTGCAACAATGACATTCCAGAACTAGAACTACATATAATTTTACAATGTAATTTATTTCTATGATGGCAATGCTGAATTTTAGACTTCTAGGATTTAGTTTCACATGATGCTTCAGAAATCATTCTAATATGCTGATTTGATGCTCAAATAACATTTCATATTATTCTCAATATTCAAAATGGTGGTAGAAACCGTTATCTTAAAGTAATCAAGACGTATTCACCAGTTTTTCACTAAGTGAAGACAAGAAATTATTTAATCATTTCAACAATACACTTTAATTAGATTCAGAAAGACTCTTTTTAGACTCTTTTTTTCTGCATTTATATCAGTGACCTTATTAAAATATTTGTGATATTCACATTATTGCTTAATTTTATTTCCAGCAAAATCTGAATATATTGTGTATATTTCATATATTGCCCATCCCAGTTTGGTGTCAATCTAGAAATGTCACCTCTTTGTACCATGCTTTGTACAGTTTTATTCTAGTGTCTTCATGAAATCTGTTTGCAAGTGAAAATCCCAGAAATACTGAATAATTTCTTCAGCACTTTATTGTGTGCCACTTACAGGCAAGACAACCAGTTAGTTAACCTTGGAACTGTACTAATATTCTTTTACAAATGTTCTGTTTAGAGATTATCATAAATTCAAAGCCAAACATCTGCTTTCTTTGTTAAACTGTCATAGTGAGTTACTGTGTATGAAACCACAGCAGATTTATCCCTCAACCTGCTTTAAATCAGCTCAGTAAGCAGCAGTGTGGTCTGAAACACCTCCATTTGTGCTCCTTGTTTTTCTTTTCTTATGCAAAATGACAGATTCAGTCAAACATTTCCACTCAGGCTGCTCATTACTAAACAGAGATGGCGAACTTGCACTCTCTCACTAAGACATTAACATTTAATTACACCACACGGCTTTGGGAATGGTAATCGAATAACCACCTCGTGCATATTTTTCATTACAGTTCACAGAATGAGTCTAGTGTTCCTTTTTTCAATCTTAATCTGTATAGGCTACATACATACTGTATATGCGATTCCGCTCTTTTATGAATAACGATATTAAACCTCTCTATGCAGCACAAAACACCTAGACTAGGAGGCAATTATATTTCACGTGTTACATGTGAGCTGATACTAAAATCATTTTAAGGATCTGTGAATCACATGTGCGTGATTCCGAAATGTCAAGTTAAGGCTTTGTTCACAAGTTGCTTAATTTGGTTTGGATACAAGGAACAAAATCAATAACGAAAACAAACACGTTGAGAGCACTTATTATGATAGTCTAGCGGGACAGATCTGATTAGTTCAGGTTGTGGTGTTATTGACTAGCAGTCCTGTAAATTGAATCTGTGAGTCAGGGCCTCCTTCAGCGTAATCAGATCTGTTCAGACACAGAAGAACACATAAGCTTCATTTGATAAGCCGTCCATGTGGAATTGTTCTTACATGGCATGACTGAAAGGGCGTTTACTTTATAATATCACTTAGGCCATCAAAGTTAACTCATGCATTAAAGCATTAAATACGAATGAATTCTTTTTAAAAAACAGTGGTCTAAAAATGAATGCATTAATGCAAAATTAACGCAAATTAACAATTTATGCCCCCTGACCTGAATGTAAATTCCGTAGTAAGTGATTTTCCCTCCAGTGGAAGTTTGAAGTACCACTTAAATGCAAGGTGTATTTTTGCTCATTCTGCAGGGGATCATCCCACCTCCCAATTATTCATGCAGGATGGAGTGCAAAGAATGGAAAAGTACACAGGGGTTTCCATATGCATTTTTAACAGATGCTAAAAACTTTGAGATGTGACTGAATGTATCAGTATGACTGTTTAAAATAAAATAAAAAAGTCAAATAAAATCACAAAGAATTATCTTAATTGACTGAATGCTTTAAATGTAATCTACAAAAATATGACTATCAATTAATAAAACTAAAAATTACACTGAAAATCATTTTAATGGTAAAAGACAGTCAAAATCTTACGGTAAAAACCTGTTAATTGGTTACTGATTAGTAACAGTTTTTGGAAGCAATTTACAGTGAAAACCCATAAATGGACATTTCTCAGAATTCTCTGGTTGTTCATCAAAAGAACTGTTTCTTCTTAGATTTTTCTTATCAGGTATGTACATAACTATGTAGGGTTTTATTTTTCATCTTATGTTATGAATTTAATGTTTATTGTATTTTTAGTATTAGTGTTAATTTTAGTATCGACGGTGGTCATGGTGTTTTGTATTTGTGCACCATCTATAAAACAATTAACAAAACTGATTGACAACCCTGAATATTACAAACGGTCATTTGTAATCGTACAACTTCCTCAGCTTATCTGATATCATCATGAAGAACTAACAATAAAGTTTGAATTGAGTTTATGAAAAACGTTTACTCTCAGTCCTGGAGGTCCATCTCGGCCTGGTCCTCCACTGGCACCTGGTACACCCTGAAAGTAAATAAACAAGACAACATAATCAATGACAGACATAGCTGTTTACAAAATGTGTGGCCTTTGCCGAGTAATAAATGTTCAGCCCTATTGTTTCACGTGGCCATTGGCATACACAGAATGTCTTCCATTCTCACCGGCTACGATATTGACATTATCAAAGTGCTCAATCTCAAGGCTGAGGAGGTAATCGAAAGTGAAGACAGTTTGTGTGGTCTGAGTCATTGTGATTTGAAGAGCTGCTCTGCTATGATATCTTACATAAAAAGAACATAAACTGTAGCCTAGTCCTTGAAGATCAGGGCAACCAAACGACTGAGTGTTTTTGTACCCACAATGAAAATCAATTCCAGTCCATTGACTTACATTGTATGGAACCCACTGACTTTCATTGTAAGGGCAAAAACATTTGAAAGAAACATTTTTCAAATATCTTCTTTTGCGTCCCACAGGATGAACAAAGTCATACAGATTTGGAAGGGTAAGTAGAACTATATTTTGGGGTAAACTATTCTTTAAAGCACTAAATTCACAAGAAACACCAGGACTGTGACACAGTTCGAAATGTCTACTACAGACGTCACTGCTTCCATCTCAGCGATTAGCATTTTCCACCTCCCATTTGCATAAAGTTGAGCATTTCTCTGCTTTTTATGGCTGTCACCCCTTGCATCGCTCTTTTAACAATCCCATAATCCCCTGCAAAAACCTGCCGCTCAGCTCCTACAGAGCATCAACTGAAAATGCATGCTCATCTCCAGGTGAGCATGTACAAATATGTTAATTTAGATGAAACTGTCTTCATAAAGGTATGATATTTCATCCTTTCAGTTACAAAACTACGAATCAAGAAGTTCAACTCAACATCACCCCATATATTAGCACCACACACACACACACACTAAAATGGGCTTCGTTTCATCACAAGTGGACTCGTAATTCTGAAACTGTGTGTGAGGGCACCCATAACAGTATTATATACGGGGCTCTCAGCGCCAGCGGCAGAGACAGACCAGGGAAGAGATGCGGCACATGACATGGAGGACTGGCAACCAGCAGCCAATGAATATAATTCACAGGCTGACAGGCTAGATTAGCCCTGAGTGAGAACTATGGGCATCTCTGCTGCAGTACGGCAAAGACCACTTCCTACTTACTGCCAACATAACTCTGAAAGAACTCAATACCGGCTGCTAATGGAAGCAAGTGTGCGGATGGCCCCTCTGCTTAAAGGAGGATATCCATCTCAAGACTTGATGTCTATACTGGAAGACTGAGGAACGTATGGGTGGGTGGGTGTGTGTGTTTGTACTTTGACCACTGGAAAAGCCAGGATGTTCTTTTTGTCACCCTGGAGAACTCAATAGGGATTTTTCCTGAGTGGTTGTCATTGGCTTCACATCAAACAGCTATTCCTCAACAAATGGAACTGTCACTGTGAATGTTTTAGAAGCCTTTTGGTGACACTTTCCGCAGAAATCTAAAAACCAGCAGTTGGTTGTCACAGAAAAGGGAGAAATTTAACAAGCTTGTGAAAGAGGCTTTAGAAGCATAAAAGTCTAAGACATCTGCTTGAGGCAAAACTATGAATTCCATCCTGCCTGCTTAGAATTGTCTTTTGAGTTAAGGCACATTAGATTCTCCCTCAAATCTTAATATGATCATTTTCATGTCAAAGTGCTTTATTATTATGTAGAGGTGTGTGGTGGACTGAAATGAGTAGGAAGAGAAGCTGGGTTTCCCAATGTACACTACGTTTCAAATGTTTGGGGTCGGTAAGGTTTTTTAAATGTTTTTGAAAGAAGTCTCTTATGCTATTCGATCAATAATACAGCAAAAATAGTAATATTGTGTTCAATTCAGAAATCATTCTATTATGCTGAAATGTAGCCCAACCATTTTTTTATTAGCATTGTTGAAAACTGTTGTGCTGTTTAATATTTTTGTGGAAACCATGATTTCTTTTTTAAGATTCTTTGATGAATAGAAAGTCCCATTCAAATTCAACATTCCACTTTCTCCTAGCCTCATTTGATCTTAAACGGCTTACCACCACAGGAACTCACAAGTCAGGGAAACAGCTCAACCTCATTTGGTGAAACCTCTGTGCATTTATGATAATTTCTTCACTACTTTTGGTTTACAACTTACTTCTTGTGTGCCACCAACCCTTCTGACAGTTGCATTCAGACAAAACCTGCTCCCTTTCTCCTTCCCACCGTTCCTCAGTTGTGCCATCCTGTCTTCAATCTCCCACACAATTCTCATCACTGGATGCGAATAGTGCCACAGACACTTTATGCTCCACTTTAACTTCTTGTCTAGACCATATCTGTCCTCTCTCCTCTAGGCCAGCACATTCTACTCCCTTCAACCCCAGATTGTCTGATGTTCTTCATGAACACTGGCCCAAACGCAAGGATGCATGAAGAAAATGGCACAAATCCAGCTGACCTGAGTATGTATCAGTCACTGCTTTCTTTTTTCTCTGTTAAAGTCCACACTGCCAAAACTTCATATTTTCACAACAAGATCAACAGCTACACACAAACTCTTCAGAACATTCAACTTTCTCCTGTCCCCCTCTGCCATTTCCCACCACCTCTTTAACAGCTGATGATTTTGCCAATTTTTTCAAATACAAATCTAGAATCATCAGCAGTCAGTTTTTCAGTTTTCACACACAGTAACCAACCACATCTACAGCCAACAATCTCCTCACCTCATTTTCTCACAGAGGCAGAAGTATCAAAACTTCTCCTCTCCAAGTCATCCTCCACTATGCCTTTTAGTCCCCATTCCCTCACACCTTCTACAAGCTACTTCTCCTACACTCTTACCAGCACTCACACACAACATCAACATCTGTCCACACAGGCATTTTCCCACCACATTCAAGCAGGTTTGGGTAACCCCCCACTGCTTAAAAACTACACTAAACACCGAATAACCGGCTGGATGAGAACCAATCAGGCTTCAAAAGTGGCCATTTGGATGAGACTGCATTAATGTCAGTCACTGAATCCTTGCAGATTGTGAAAGTTCTAATTTTTCTGGATCTAACTGCCATTTTGACATTGTCAATCATCAGATCCCTCTGTCCACCCTCTCATCACTGGGTAACACAGAAACTCTACTCTGGTTTGAAACCTATACCTCATAGGCCTTTCAGGGTTGCCTGGAGGGGTGTTACCTCAGAGTCGTTTCTCAAGGATCAGTTCTTGGACCCCTTCTCTTCTCCATATACACTACAGCACTGGGGACTACTATATAGGCACATGGATTCTCCTACCATTGCTATGCTGATGACACACAGCCTTATTTTTTTATTTCAATGAGATGATCCCAAGATAGCTGCACGAATGACATGGATGAAAGAATATCACCTCCAGCTCAACTTAGCAAAGACAGACCTTCTTGTTTTCCCTGGCACTCCAACTGTACAGCACAATTACATCATCCAGCTAGGTTCCCAAACAATTATCTCATCAAATTTGGTCAGAAATCTTGGGGTAATCTTTAATGACCAGCTGTCCTTCAAAGACAGCATGATCATGTAGGTTTGCGTTGCACAATATCAGGAAGATCAGGTCCTTCCTAATGAAGCATGCTGCACAACTTCTTGTCCAGGCCCTTGTCACTTCTAGGATGGACTATTTCAATGCTCTTCTGGCTGGACTTCCATCCATTGCAATCAAACCTCTACAAAGGATTCAGAACCAGCAGCACAACTAGTCTTCAATGAGCCTAAGAGAGCCCATGTCACACCTCTCTTTATCTCTCTTCACTGGCTACCGGTTGTGGCTTACATCAAGATCAAGACACTGATACTTGTATCAAGAACAGCCACGGGCTCCACACCCTCCAACCTCCACACAGTCTTAAGTGTCTAAATCCACTCCAGAAGCCTGAGGTCGGTAAGTCAACAGCACCTTGTTGTACTATCACAGAAATGCACAAAGTCCTTTTCCAGAACATGTTCATTCACTGTTCCTTGCTAGTGGAATGATTTTGCCAACCCTATCCGGATCACTAAATCACTATATTTACTGAGCACAAACCTTTAAACAGTAGTGTAAATAGTAAATGTAAACTTGTCATGTCCCAGCTGATGTTTTCACAAATGTTTCCCAGTTAAAGCCACATGGAACGCCACATTACATTACATTTGGGACAATCAACAAGCAACCAATACTCCAACATTTCTGTGAATCTGCGCATTGTCAGATCAACAAATCTGCCATTCACAGTGACATAGAAGCGCTGCCTCCGCTCACGTGTTTTTTTTTTCACCTCAATTTTGCTATTACCCCTTCATATTCATACCTCAATTACAATACAATGGGCAAAGAGAGCAAAAACTCTCCCTCTGAAGCTTTACATAATATTTGCGCTATTTATTTTTTGTACAAACAATTCTTTTGTCATTCATAATTATTTTTGAGAAGACCAAACAAACAAGACAAGTGCAGTCTTCGACCCCAGAGGGTTAACCTATCAAAATGTATAAAGTAGATTTTTTAATAACAAGTTAAAACTTGGTTAGTATTTTTTTAATAGTTACAGCCAAATTTTCAGTTGAAAACTGAACACGAGAATTGTAAGTCATTTCTAAAAAACCTCATAATTCCTCTTGCCGCCTTAAAAAAGATTTAGATTTTTCACAGACGCATATCTCAATTCTAAAACTTCTCCCTACAAGTGAGTTTTCAAACTAAGTTTAGGAAGGTTGAGTAATACATAAAGGCGCTAGTTGATTCTATTAGGCTGAAAACTGAAGGACACAATCTGTTTGTATTAATCGATTTATATTAAATAATTTTCTTAAATTCAGGATAAGCAGCACATACAGACACACATGAAGGACTTATCACTCACAAGCTACACACACAGACACTCATGGGACTGTGATAATTATAACTCTCTGACAGAAGAGACGAGGTTAGCTAATAAGAGACCGCGTGGGTGTTATGAAGCTGTCGTGAAGTGCTGATGAGACAGGTGGGTGATATATTTTCCCTTACCTGAGGACCTGGCAGACCTATTTCACCCTTCTCTCCTTTTTCTCCTGGAGCCCCCTGAGGAGAGAGGAATTGAAAAAGAAAAGGCAACATTAATAAAAAGAAAGAAACAAACTTTGCATAAAAATCCAGTATTCAGCTTACCGGTGGCCCCTGAATGGACAGTCCATTCGGCCCCTGAGGACCCGGTGGCCCCTGCGGTCCAGGAGGTCCGATCTCACCAGGTGGCCCTTGAGGCCCCTTAAACATAAAGTTAGGACATTATCTTAATAAATGTAGCCTCATTATAAAATCATCATGGTTTCATTGCCGGGTTTAATTTCCTCAATATAATTACGTAACGTTTCAGGCCTACCACCAGCCGGGCTGCTGAAACAAAGTGTGAATGCCCTGCAGTCTCCTTCTCCATCAGGAATGCAATAATCAAGGAAGCAAAAGACACTCGTCACAGTCTAGCTTGTGACAAACTTCTTAGCGGCGGTCATTTGGACCAAGTTTACATAAAACTTTGGAGCATGAAATGAAATTATGTCTGCCACAGCATGGCTTTATTTGGACAGAAGCATGATGTATTCTGTGAATGGACACACACACATCTGGAGGGACTTTACTGTACATGAAACTACAGTTGGACAGAGAGACACAAATAAAAAAAGCGAGCTCTCTGAAAATCCAGAGCGAGGGTGAGATTTACTCACTTGTATGCTCCAAAAACAACACAGAGGCACATGCATTGTATGTATTTCCACATTTTGAGTTCTTGTCCGGGGTCTATTATTTTGGGAAATAATGACAACTCTAAGTGGCCCTGTATATGGGATACATAAAGCATATGTGTACTTTACCGTCAAGCCTGGCTCCCCCCGATCTCCTCTTGAACCTCTGATACCAGGACCACCCTGAGAGTCAGACACACACAATTAGATAAACACAAACTGAAAGACTCAGAATAAGCAAACACATTTTCTTAATGACCAGAGCTGGGGCATGTGTCAAAAAAGCAATTTTAAACACTGTCGCTAGCTCTGTTCCAAAGCATTGTGAGCTGCCTTGTTTCCTACATAAGCAGTGTGCTAACCGCCATGGACCCTCATAAGTGACCAATTCAGAACACTCTACAAATGAGACTCAACTAGCAAGAGTTTGACATTAGTATATTGCTAAGTTAATAGAACAATACTCTACCATGGTTATCTACCAGGGGGGCGGAGTCCACTAGGGGCCTTCAGCAAACGTTCAAGGAGGCCTCAGGATGACTTCAAATACTGCAAAATTGGCTAGTTCAAAAATATCAGATTGAATCTGCCTGCAGTTTGGTAGAGAGTATCCTTGACCTGGTTCAAACCATATCCCACCCGCTTATGACCCTCATAAACTCTTGCCCCCACTGCTGCAGGCAACCGCTAGTAATTTAACCCTGTTTGCACGTCTTCTTTTTCCTGTGTTTACTCTAATTGCATCCCCAATGGCCGCAATTAGGTAGTTCTTATCACTGAAGGCTATGGGCAAATTTGATTCATGAGCTTGCTCAAAACACACTTAATAAATCCTGCTGGTGACGGTGGAAGCTGAGAATACGCAAGCATAAATATTAATTTGAAAGATGCATGTGATGACTTAACAGGACATTTTCGGTTCATTTGAGCAGCCGGTGTAATCATAGGAAAGACTTTAGAACACATGACAGTAATATTAATATCAAGATGCAGGAATAATGCATACAAAACTGAAATGCAATCGTCTTCCTTGCAACCACCTCTTGGTCATGGAAATGGGTTTGTATGGATGAAGGAATCTATAAACGCAGACAGGACAGGAGTGGACTAATCGGTTTTGATAAATCGATCTCCTCGTAATGACTTTCTCGAAAGAACTGCTGTTTATACACCATGGCCTTTTTGAGGCCTCAGAAATACATTTTCCCTCAGGGTGCATACGATGCTGCCTTCCAAATGAGCTCATTTATTTGTTCCCGCCATATTGAGTTCAACCTGCAGCATGGGCTGAATTGAGCAATCTAATGCTAGGTCTTTTTCTCAATCTCTTAAGCAGTGTCCCGTTTCATTTTATATCTTTAATATCTTCGTGCTCCTTCTTAACACGTTCTGTGTTTTTTCCCTAAAGGGCAATATGGTTAAGGCTTCAGACTAAAAACTGAAAAGCTGTTGGCTCCTCAAGAATCCTTTACGATTCTGCGTTCTTGAGAAAGACACCTGAACCTAGAATGTTCCTGGAGACTAATCATGGTCATGTGACCGTATGAAAGTCACAAATCCCTACAGTCTTTGTTGCATCGCAATCTATAAAGATGTTTTCTCAAACATATTGAGAACGAGTTTGTCAGTTAAAGTATGTCAGCTAGCACTAATGCTAAAGTATAATAGCAAGTTTGTCAGCTAAAGTGTATTAGCTACAGTAGTTTTTATGCTGGTATGAAAGCGACTTGGAGTAGCTCTGTCACCAAGCTGTTATGCTAAAGTTGAGGAGCTAGATTTTATGCTAACGTACATAAGACTAGTATTGACATCTGTAAGTCTGTTTTTTTGTGCTATGTCTCTTACATTTTTATGTATTATCCATATACTTATCTAAAAATAGTTTTTGTCCTGTCAAATCATGTTTTTGTACAAAAACTAGCTCATTTCTAATTGGTTAAATTTTTTGATGTTGCAACCCTGTGTTACAAATCTCCCTGGTCTACCCCATCTATCATCTAGTTTAATACAGATCACATTCTAAGGTTGGCTGTTAGTGAGAGGTGAAATCAGTGGTTTTACCGGTGGTCCTGAGGGTCCAGGTGGTCCTTTGCTGTCCTGAGCACAGGTGCAGGCATGGGGCATGGCAGGACAGTCTTCTTCTACTCTCTGATGGAAGCACAAACAAAACAACATGCCGTACACCATTTCAAACACGGGACTATTTCCTCTCTAGGAATCTAACAGAACTTTATTTGTCCAAGTCAACCAAGGATGTCTGTGCAATTCCCTCAAGTCATTAATTTGCAAGTGCACAAACACAGCAAGCGACCTGGAGATATTGTTCGTCCTATCCATGGAGTACCAAGTCTATTTGTCTGCTACAAGACTACATAACTGAATTATTTGTAGAGTGGACATGGATCTTTAAAGTTAGGGACGATTGCCAGAATGGCCGGTTTGAGATCACTTATTAGAGTTTTTTTTTTCAGCATTATACAAGTATCCAAAATGATACAGGAAGAGAACAAAAGAGTCATATCGCTAAGGCATCGAATGTACTCTATATTGGCAGTACATACAACTATAAAATCATAAAATTAGCCATCACAGCAGAGAACCTTAGTAAATAATGATAGCTAATTACAAGGTTGCTTATGGTCATTTTGTTAGCATTTGTTTTAAACTAGTCATTTTTTTTTAGATTTAGCTTTTCAATATTATTTACATTATTAAGTTTTGTTTTCTTTTGTTTTTTACATATACAATGAATGTTATTTAACTGTTTTATGGGGTCTTTACTCATTTCCAAGTCACTGAAATGCTAACAATAACATTGCACAATGAGTTGCTATTTTGACATTTTAACAGTGTTTTTTTTTTTTTCATTACACAGTCATTTGCTGGGACAGCCAAATGTTGTAACATCTAAAGGGATAGTTCATCCAAAAATGAAAGTTCTGTCATTACTCACCCTCATGTCGTTCCAA